CACACACACACACACACACACACACATTCGAAGTTGTTTTCGCTTCTCTCAATGTGTCCTGCCAACAGATTGGACAAATTAGCTTAAGATAAAGATCATTTCCAGTAGATTGTTTATGTACATGATTGACAGTTTCCTGTTAGTCACTAACATCATTAGACAAATGCAGCGATGTTCAGAAATGAGTGAAGTCGAAATGGATCGAAAATAGCACGAGTAACCATGTGTTATAATTTATATTTACAATTCTGGATTCTAAAAAGATGGTGAGAATGATCTCCAAACTATCTTTGGGCAGAATAAACTCAGAGGGACCGGCTTCTTTCTCAACGTAACACTCTGTCTGACAACGCTGCTTTTTTTCTGTCTTTACTTTTCTGGACTGAATTTGTCGTCTCACCCTTCATCCTATCTTCCATCCTCTCTGCTTCCTTTTTCTCCTTCAGTCCAGTTCTGGAACTTGCAGAAACGACTCTATCCACTAGGAGGCGCTTTAACAGATATTGGTAAAGTTGGTTTATTTACACACAGCTATGCAAAAACACAGCAGATTATTAGTGTACCAAGGGGAAATGTATGCACATGCAGCCACATATCTGATTATCATCATTCACTGCTAAATGATTTAAACGGATTTAAATCGCACGAGTCAACGCTGTCAATTACATTCGGTGAGCTTGACTCCGTGAGCTTAATGTCTTGCACTGTTGAAACCAATTATCATGTAAGACACTTTTCTCTCTCTCCAGCCGGTTCTATTTGTATGCAAACAGCAAGCGACAGAAATCGGGCCCCGGGGTCGTTCCTCGCGTCAATAAACCATTTCGTATTTACTCAGACGTCTGAAAACATCAACATGTGTTCACTGCCCCCGTGTGAACCAGGGGTTTCGAGCCAGAGCGCACAGATCGGCCTCGAGACGCAGATATAAACCCCAAGGCCTTACTTAGGAAATTCAGTCAAAAACTGCTAAAACATTAGAAAATGTAAAGCTGTGTTGGATCTAATGATAACACGACCTAATAAATATATAAAAATAGGTTACAAACACATTTTCTGCGTGGACCCTGAATAGTAAAAATGTCATATTGGTAGTCCTTATTTATTCAGGGCGAGGTGACTGACCTTTTCTCAGCTGCTGCATGTCTCTGCTGGCCTTTCATGAAAAGGTGAAGCTCTGCGGTTTCCTTGTCTGTCCCAGATGTAAGCCAGTGTTATGGCAGGTTTTCTCATGCGAATGCCTCCTGTTTGTAAGGCATTAAGGACTAGAACATGATAATCTATCCACGGGATCTCGAGCGGCACCCAAAAAAACAATGCCTTTGGGGCCTGCTTCTCTAGGGCGACAAAAAGAGACCTCATCAGTCTAACGATAATTGAAATCAGGGATAAATGCTGTAATCAGTGTAGCTTTTGTTAATCACACATTGCTCTTGATTTAAGTCTGGTAAAGGTATGCACACTGAATTCATTGACATGAATTGTGATCGACGAGGTGACGTTTAATCAGATTACTGTATGTGAGTGTGAGAGAGAAAGCGAGAGAGAGAGAGAGAGAGAGAGAGAGAGAAAGGAAAGGGTGGACTGCAGCAGGGTGGTGGCGGTGGGGTTTATGCAGACAACCTGGGGGAGGGGGGTGGGGTGGTAGGTGCTCATTCACACACGTCAGAGAGAGAGAAAGAGAGACGCAGAAACAAACAGTGCACGTCTCCGTGGATAGACGGAGCAGTGTGCGCAAAAGTTTGGGGTTTTTAAATATCTATCTGGCAAGTGCGGCTTCGTGCACCACGCTCACATTCACCGAACCAGACATCAGGAAAACAGAGGTCAAAACGTAATCCCGAGTTTTATTCTGATGTTTAGCTTCAGGTGCTGGCACGGCGTGGACCTGTTGCTTCAACTTTTGCAGGCAACTTTTGGATAAACTCGCGCAGTTTTTCTTACCAGAAGGGAGTACAGAGAGGGGAGTGTGTGTCTGTTGGAGGGGGATCCAACATGACCAGCAGTGAGAGGATGATGTGACCCTGTGTAGACTCCTATGACCGCCTCTCTCTCTCTCCCAGACACACGTGAAGCGGCAGCGTCGAGTCCAGGAGGCTGAAGTCAACATGATTCTGTCCGGCGGTTTATCGGATACTTGTCATCTCATTTTACGTGACCGCACGGAGCTCAAGCTGTGGAAATAGGACTTGGTCCATGCTTTTTTGGTATAGTTGCTGCAAACACGTTGTGGTAGAGTAAACACAGGCCACCGTGCACGGTTTGGAGACAGCTACGATGCGGGGCACTTTGGGCGCATTCATTCAGTCCTGCCTCATACTGTTGGTCCGAGCAGACCAGTGGAGGCTGAAGGACTCCGCCAGCTGCGAGCTGAACAGGAAAGTAAGTTGTATGAAGAGAGAGTGTATGAGTGATCACACTGTTTCAGTTTGCAACAGTGTTGCTTTTTGTGTCTTTTCATTTGCTTTTAATTGTAAACTTTTTTGCATAACAGATAAAATAGTTGATCTCAGACTGGACCTGTCCTGGATTTAGTTTTTTTTTTTACTTAAACCCTCCGAGGGTTAAATCTGCCTTTTATAACTTGTAAAATCAGCCCAGTTTGTTTTTTGTGCAACTACTCACTTATCGTCATTATTTGTTTAATTAATAAATTGATGATCTGATCTTTGAAATCTGAAAAAAAGCTTCCAAATCTCTAATGTAGCTTTAACTTGAAAACTAACAAGTTTACAAAGAAGTGGATTGCCTACAACTTTCTGTCAGCTAATCAATGAACTATTTCTTTTAACACTCCTTTTGTGTATTGGGATTGTGTTATTTGTAGATCTTTATCTAATCTACAAAAAGATGTGTGCATTCATAAAAATAACCTTTCAGTCTCTTTGCGAGTAGTCTTCTTGTAACACCGTTCATCATACCCCAGAGTAACTCAGACCAATTTGAGGTCAGATCCAGCAGCAACAGGAAGGAAAACATTCAGGGCAACAGCCTGTAGTCTGACAGTCACTGACATGTGTATTGTTCATTTGACACTTGGGCTCTAAGTGGCCTGTTAATAAGTCATTATCAGCATGTTAGTGGTCTGTCTAATAAACAGCCACTCACAGACAAAGAGGCAGTTGGTGTCAGACAGGCTGTAATGTAAACATAATGGAAAGACTGTAAATTTGCCCCTTTGTTTCTTTCTCGCTTGTTTTCCTATGTTTTTTTCTTTTCTTAGAGTTGCTATTGTTTAGGTGCTACGTGCTTGGGTGATAATTTGATTACTTGAGCAACTCACAATTAGAATTAATTAGACAATCAGGAATCTCCTACATTAAGGATTTCTATATTTCTATATTTCATGAGATTGTGGTTTAGGACTATCGAACAAACATAAAAAGTAAAATATTTAGCACGTTATTGTGAACCACTCAGTTTATGTTTGTTTGTGGTTACTGTGTGGAGTTTACGTGTTCTCCACATGTCTGTCTACACTGGCTTCCTCCTGCACTCCAAACACATACATGGGATTTAGTTAATTGATGATTCTAAATTGTGAATGTTTGTCTGTCTCCGTGTGTGATTAACGACGTGTTCAGGATCTATCTTGCCTCTCGCCCTATCACACTAGGGATAGGCTGCAGACCTTCTGTGACCCTGAATTGGATAAGTGAAAGAGGGCCCATGAACGGGTCTGTCTAGCTTGATTGTAGCTTTGCTAATATTTTTTTCTTGTACCCACAGCAAACTGACCTAAACTCCTTCCTGTGGATGATCAAACGGGACCCTCCTTCATATTTCTACGGTACAATCCATGTTCCCTACACACGTGTTTGGGACTTTATCCCAGAAAATTCCAAGCAGGCCTTCCAGGAGAGCAATATTGTCTACTTTGAGTTGGACCTAACAGACCCTTACACCATCTCAGCTCTGACCAGCTGTCAGCTGCTTCCTCAAGGTGAGAACCTGCAGGACGTATTACCCAGAGACATTTACAGGAGGCTTAAAAGACACCTTGAGTATGTAAAGCTCATGATGCCTTCTTGGATGACCCCGGATCAGAGAGGGAAGGGACTCTACGCAGACTACCTCTTCAATGCCATCGCTGGGAACTGGGAGAGGAAGCGACCCGTTTGGGTGATGCTGATGGTGAACTCGTTAACCGAGGCAGACATTAAGACGAGAGGGGTGCCGGTGCTGGACCTGTATCTGGCCCAAGAGGCGGAGAGGATGAGGAAGAGAACAGGAGCTGTCGAGAAGGTGGAGGAACAGTGCCATCCACTCAATGGGCTCAACTTCTCCCAGGTTAGTTAGAGAGATGTACTTCTTCATACCGTCTCATCTTTGCTTGTGTGAAAGTGTCAGTATTGCAAAAATAACAGAAACACAGTGGTATAGCTGAAATCCTACAGCAGAGACTGTTTCAGATAAATTACACATGATGAGGAGAGTGAGGTGGACACATTGAAGCAATGCTATTTCCCAAACCTACAGTTACAATTTACACAAGCATAAAAAGGTCGCTGGGCTATAATTATCTCCATAGTCAACATTTAATGTGTAGCAGCACATAAGTTTCTAATAACTTCCACAGAGGAGTGATCAACTGATTGGACTTTTAAGATAAACATTATTTTAAGATGTGTGCTTTATCTGAACGCGATTATGTCTTTTCGAGTCTGAACAACATCCATCTCATGCTGATGATGCCAAATGATGTGATGTTACATGAAGCAGCTGGTGGGTTCAGGCTTCGGCCTTCATGCATCAGGCTTGCTTGTTTCAATAAACATCAACCCCCCCCCCCCCCCCTTTCTCTGTGGAGAAAGGTGTGGTGTGAGTAATCAGCTGTATAAACATCCAAGCGCTTGTTTTTTTACATCCTTTCGTTATTAAGGAAAAATGGATTCTAATAACTCAAGTCTGAAATCACCAGAAAAAAAGGGAACCTTGTTCCTCAAACCTCTCTCCCAGCCTTTCTGTTTATCTGTCTGTGCCCCTCGGTGACCCTTTCAGCATTACAAACATGTCTCAAAGACAGCAGCCACTATGAAATCATGTCGCATATTACTGTGGAATTTCTGCCAATGCTGGCCGGGAGTTAGAGGGATTACACCATTTAGCCTAACACCCAGAAGCTTAAATTGTTGTTATTTTAAAGGACGCCCTGTTGGCCACCATAAGTCTCAACTCAAACCACCCAACACCACTTATAAGCATTCTCTAGAGATGGAAACAAGGGTTTTAATAATCTCACAGCACATATAATCAGTCATATGTAAAATGAATTATGCTTTTTTACTTGTTGGTGTAGGCAGTTTAATAGAAATCTTTTTTCCCCATGGCAGTGCTTACATCTTAATAAACACATGGCGTGTGAGTGATAGATGACAGTTACTGTGAAAGCATTTTTTCCCTCTCACTGAGGTAAGATGATTAGCTTGTGCTCTAAACATCTAAGACTGATTTAAGAATGGCTTTGAATAACTGTGAGTGTTTTTGATTAGAGTCCTCTAATAAATAAGAACTACAGGAGTATCAGCTAATTGCTAACCCCTTTCTAGAAAGCATGCTTTTTTCGTAATTAGACAAAATATCCAATGGCCAGTGGATATATTAATATAGTTTCGATATTTCCAGGAAATCTGCAATAATGATATTTATGACACTTTAGAAAAAATATGTTTTATTTGTTATTGCAGCTTGCAGCCAGTGACATTGATTTCTGCTACCAAAATTTCCATTTTCAATTCGTTGTTGTCACTGATTACAAGCTATGTAATTTGAAGTGAGAACCTACTGCTACAAGCTCCCAGCAGCTTTAGCTTAACTCTAAAAAGTCTGTCAGCGTAGCAACTAATAGTTCCCACTGCACACAGCAGACAAGAATAAACAGCCAAACTTAACTCAACTGTTCCGCATAGACGAGACACAGTTATTTACAATATCTTAACTCAGGCACTACAATAATTAAACTTCTGGGCGCACACATCAGGCACAAACACAGGTGAGCCAATCCATTATAAAAACATTAAAGAGGATTCAGGTATTGCAGCTGTTTAGTCTCTAAAGATACAGCAGTCGGGACATACAACAGGCCTGTTTGCACACTGCTGACTAGAACCTATCAGATTTAGCATAATACTCGCCCCAAAGCCAGATTTGCACAGCATACAATATGGTCAAATGCCCTTCTGCAGCAAATGTAGGACTGTAAAATCACTGCCTAATAACAATATTAAACTGCAGCAGCTTATAATAGGCCAAAGGGTTACTTTCATCTGCGTGCACAAATATAATACTCCAAAGGTGCTCCGAGGTTTAGGCGATGAATTTCTTCACGAGTTCTACGGAAGAAATTGTCCCAAGTTTTCAAAATGTCTTTGAAGGCATTCATCATTAACAGGTGTGTGACTTTCATCTGTAATGTATTGAACAGTAACCATGGCGTCACTGGAGAATAATCACTCTGGTGAGGCCAACAGGAACAGTTCTGAGAGTCATCAGGGGGATGATGCTCTATAATATGCTGGTCTTTTGCTGTGCTCTTTTTATAAGCTAGCTGATAACAAAACAAGTGTTTTGATATTACTGTCATTTTAAAAAATGCACCATGTTTTAACTATTAGTGGCTACTATGTAAAGTCATTTGACCATGATACCTGGTGATGTTTAAAGAAAAGAAAAAAACATAATTACTTGGCATTTTTAATATATTACAACTTCCTATCACACATTTCTTAGACAGCTGATAACAGGAACACTCTTGCCACTATAAAGGTTTTTAACACATTTACCTAGGTTTTTTTGGCATTTGGCAGGGGGTGCTGCAGCACCCCTACTTACCACGACCTTGAACAACAGCAAAACTGAGAGGAGCCCAATTCAGAGCAAAGTTGAGCCCATTATAATGTAGCAGTTGTGACAAAGCATTATATAAAGTGATGTAACATAAAACAAATGTAAGCATAAAACTAGAAACATAACTGCTTAACACTTTTGTTTAACAGCAATTAAAATAACGGAATCTTAAAACCCTTCAGGAGCTATGTAATATTTTTATGTAATAAAGTAGTAATAAAGCAGAAATTCAAAAATATTTTCTAACCTGGAATTTTGTGTCTTGGGTTGATCATTTTAACTAGTTGGCTAAATCCCACCTTTTCCATCATGTAACAGCATCAGTAATTTCCATCCACCATTTCCTTTTTCTGTCTACTGAGCATGACTAGCAAGTGTTCCAGGGATGCTAGTTGAGTCATTTACTTTATTTACTGTTGGATTGTGTTGGGAGTGGTGAAGCAAGTTTGCCCTTTCCACCTTTAGCAGGATTAGTTTGTTGGAGGTTGCTGAAGTAGCTCCCTATTTAGGTACTACATTACCATCAGAGGCTAGCATTCTGTTATGGTGATATACCGATATTACGGCAGGCTCTGTATCCAATGACCACTGGTATTGGCCCATGTTGGTCTTGTTGACTGATGTCAGAGTATAACTAGCATAACCGGCTATTGTTATCTGTTTCGTCACATCAGTTTTATAAAATGTTTGAAGGGACTGAAAACCTAAACAACTTCATATGTTCTATGATGATTTCTGTGTTGCCCTGGCACAATAATGAAACAAATAACTAACACAAGATAAAGAAAACAGAAGGACATTTTGGTAACAACTAGTTGTCTGAAGTTTGCACTGCTTGTACTGCTCAAATGGTGATTTGGTGTATGTACCTGACATTATCACCAACATTTGCAAAGAAGTTTAAATGCCCTGAATCATTTACGGGAGGTGGCATATCTCCTAATTCATTTCCCGAATCAAAGTTGGCCTGTTATGAAAGACATTGATACTTTGCTTATTTTGTTGTATAGACATGGTTGTTAGACATTATTAATATCAGAGAAAGGTTGCGGGTGGCTGAAATTGGGTTTGTCAACAGACCTGTAAAGTGATTAAACCTTCCATCATCGCAGCTTCCATTTAATTAGGTCCACAAAACCTCCAGAAGGCTCAACAATGGATTGTAGTGTCCTGAAAACAACCCCTGTCCTGATCCTATCAAAGCAACACACAGCTTGGCACTCCGTAATTTCCACACTCAGTTTCAGTCTAATCACCAGCAGCTCGACTGACGCCTTCGCCCCGCTGGCTTAAAGCAGCCTGCTTTATACCTTTTTTCACAGTTCTGCCTTGTAGTTGAAAAGGGCAATTCCATTTAAAGCCTTTTAGCTCAACTCAACTGTAAGATGTCCAGATAGAGTGTGATGAGTGAGATACACGCTTGGTGAAACAATACTGCCGCCTCAGCCACCAGTCTTGACAGAGATGTTTAATCAGGCTGCAAATAGAGAAGCACATTTATGGTTTGTAATAGTCTCTGTAATGTTTTCACTGGCTATTTGGCTCTGGCATGGAAAATAAAAATATTTAATGTACTGAAACAGTGAAAAGTTCTCTCCTCGTGCCTTTGTTAAGGACAAACCAGCATGTAGGCCTGTTTACTTCCAACAACTCAGATGGGTATGCATTTGAAGTAAAATTGATTTTCAAAGCCACAGTTGATGTAGACATTCTCTTCTTTTGTGAAAAATCAACACAAAACCTTTCCACAGCTGATTGGATGACTGCACCACTAGCTTTATTTCTGACTTTCGCACTGGAAAATCATGGTTGCCCTTCAGGAATTTTACCAAAACCCTGAAGAAGTTTAAGACAAATAGGTCTTGCAATCATGTATAATTGGACATCTAAAGTACATCTTTTAATGGGTTTTGAAGGCTTGGTATTTGTTCTAAGAAATGAAAGAAAAAGAAGGAAAGAATTACACAATCATCTCACTGTCATTTAGTTTTCATAATCTCAACTCTTTCCATAATCAGCTAATGAGCCAGCTTCCTGCCTTCTGTGAATGTATCCAAACAGATAAATTCACAGAGGGGAATGCAAATGACATAATGCAGTCATTTACATATAAAGATAATGCTGTACATTTTGAACAAATCTTTCCCTGAAAGGTTTCTGTGGTTTTGTACTTGAGACATTCACAAAGAGATAAAGTAATTGCATCAAGCAAGGAAATTTGAGCTCTAGAGTATATGAATTTTGAAAAAGTTTAGATGTTGAACTACTGCATGCAGCAGGAATGCTTCTTGGACCGATGGCTTAGGAAATTTAGAAAAATTACTGGATTCATGGATCTTAAAGGCAGGCAATTTGTTGATACCCTAGAATATTGGTACCTGGCGCAACTTTTTTACATAAAAAAGACAAGATGCGGCTTTTTTTTTGCTTGTCAATATAAATTA